TACATCAGGTCCTACTAATACTCACCCTGAAATTATCCATGGAAACAGCTAGAGAGTCCAGTACCTCTGCATCAATTTGTTCATCTTCCAAGTCAATTAAATCCATTTTTTCACGAATCTGTAGAATAAAAAAAATGAAACAAGAGTGTTGTCAATAAGACATCAGTGAGAAGTTGAGTGTAACTCTACAAATTAATGCCACTAAACCTGTTGAAGAGCAGCTTCTGAACAGAGAGAGGCCACATCTGAACCAACATAACCATGAGTTTCAGCTGCAATCTACAAGGAAATCAAATTGCATAAAGCATACAGTCAAATGGTGGTGCTTAAAGAGAGAATACCAAACAAACAACAGTTGACCAAAGACTTAACACTCCACCTGCTCAAGATCAACATCATCTCCAAGTTTCATGTTCTTTGTATGAATACGTAAAATCTCTAAACGGCCTGTAGCATCTGGTATGCCAATGTCCACCTCCCTATCAAAACGGCCTTGAAGAAGGAAACAGTGTATTCAATATTAATAAAAGCTGAATATACCAAAAGGTCTAAGTAAATTCATTATTATTCTCACCAAATCTTCGCAGAGCTGGGTCAACGCTGTTTGGTCTGTTAGTTGCTGCCATAACGATAACATGGGACCTCTGCTTTAAACCATCCATCAGAGTCAACAGTTGGGACACAATTCGCCGCTCTACTTCTCCATGTGTCTGCAACAATCAGAAATAGACAGCTGAATGTTAATAGTAGTCATTTTAACCCTTTAATTCCCAAGATCTAATTAGTAATTCTCCTTAATGTCTGCCATATATTCTTCTGATGTTAGTTTTGAGAATTTGGTACTGTATCAACTAATAACTCCCTAATTAATATTTTTATTCATTCTCATCAGTTGTGTGCTTGATATTGTATTGATATTGTAAGGAGGAATTCTGTCCTGGTCACACATAGGAGTTAAAGGGTCAAGTAAGATCTCTTTATTTAAAAAATTTGGATGCAGAATAATACCCATGGCTTCCCAATAAACATAATTTGCCCATAAAATTGTTATCACTGCCTTACAGATATGCTTCTAACATTTATTGGCCTTGAGTCTGCCAACTGTACACACCAATCAGTAATCTTTAGTTACCTTATCTCTCTTAGGAGCAATAGCATCAATTTCATCAATGAATATGATTGCTGGGGAATTTTTTTCTGCCTCTTCAAAAGCTGTATTAACACAAACAAGAAAAGATGAGCCTCTGCACATCAAGGAATAACTTTTTGAAAATGTTAAAAAACTGATGGGCAAGTTCAAAAGGTATTTTACCAACCTTTCCTTAGATTGCTTTCAGATTCACCAGCAAGTTTACTCATTATCTCAGGACCTATTGTAAGAAAAGAAACAACCAAAAATGTCTTTATCATGCTCTTCTAATCAGATTGTAATTGTTGAAAGAAAAAACATTTCTTGAATGCTAACAATTTACTATCTTTTAAGGCTACTTTCCATTGTTTTAATTTTTTTTTGATCAGTTTGATTTTGACATCCCTTTGTTTCAGAATATTCATAAGAGGAAATAAACCATATCGTGGTTTTGAAAAGTTTGTGCAAAATCTTACCATTGATCAAGAAGAAAAATGCTCCTGTCTCATTTGCAACAGCTCTGTTAAAAAAACAGGACAAAGCAAAATAAGTTCCACTCAAAATAATTTTATGCTGATTGGTAACAAACATACTGTCATCATTTTCCACAACACAAATTATTGTTTATGAAACAACACAAACCTTGCCATCAAAGTTTTTCCAGTTCCTGGAGGACCATAGAGAAGAATACCACGGGGAGGCTGCAAAGATATGACAAAATTGTCAGTTGTTTCAACACATTACAATTGATATTATGTCTCATTTCAAATAAAAACTTACCTTCACACCAATGGCCCGAAACAACTGGGGATGTCTGAGAGGTAACTCCACCATCTATTAGAGAAATGTATACATTAAGAATAAACCAGTCAATTTACCACTTTAATAAGCAAACAACAAAAGAACCAACCTCCTTTATTTGGGCCAACTGTTTCCTACAGCCTCCAATGTCATCATAACCAACTTCATTTAGAGACTCCTCCTCTTCCTACATAAAAAACATGCAACATACATGTGAATCATACAAGCTGCAATTCAAAACACAAATTTTCATTGTATAAAGAACAGTGACTGACCTCTCTCTTAACTGGCTCTCCTTCACAATGAATTACTGTGTCTGGTGCTACAATGCAGTATGGACTTGGATCAGTCTCTATGACCTTGAATTCAACAGCTCTCATTCCACCACGTACAAGAAACATGTCCTCTGTAAACAAAAATTATTAACCATGAAGAAAATTACCAATGCTCTTTATCAAACCTAGTGTCTGTCCCAGTTTGTACCAGGTGTGAGTAACCAATAAAGAAAGACTTTTTTAGTCTAGTTTTTTCCTAACATTTCTTTACATGTACTTTCTTAAGAGGACATATAATATGTAAATGTAGTATTGCAAAAGAAGGGCTTAAAGCACATAAGGAAAACAGATGGCAGTAAGAGGCTATCTACATTAATGATTTTCTAGCTTCTTCCAAAATTAGAGAAATGTTGACTGAAAGATGTTGGTAATGATTTGCCTAAATATTGTAAAAAATAAAAGTCAAAATTATTACAACACAAGATTACACAAACCTTTCCTGATAGGTCTGTATGCTTCCAAAAAGTATGGCTTTAAGAACACATCAAACAGGTTCCTGCAAAAAAAATAGGTTTCCTAATATAAGCCAATATTTAGCGGTATTGAAAAGCTTTAGTTGCACTTTTACACAGACACTTAAAATCTCTTGCCTTTAAATTTAGGAGTACTGGTATAAAGATAGACAAACTTCTAGTACAGACCAAAATTTCACTGAAGATATTGATTTTTATGGAATACCTTACACTTCCTTAGTGACCAACTACTAAAGAGATTAAACATTCTACAAACCCAGTTAGGCCTTCCACTGTATCATCAAATGGCAGGACATGAATTCGTTTGCCATATTTGACATCAGGACATGCTTGTACACTACAAATGAGGCAGATATATTGAATAACTACTAACTTAAGACCTGTAAAATGCCATTGTAGCAGTTAAGTAACAAAAAAACCATAACTATGTTTCTCTCTTAACAATCTCTATGTTATTTAGGACTCTTGATTAAGACCAACACAGGGTTGTTGCTAAACACCAAATCTTAAAAGCCCTGCATTCAAATAGTTGTAAACAATCCAAATGAAATGTTTTTGCCAGATCAGATCTCTTGTTACAAGCTTCCCTCTTCAACCATCAATGGAAGGCATAAAGTACCTCCTTTGAGGCACCATCTTGAAGCTGCCTTAATTGAAATTTCAGCTGGCAACCTAATTTCAAAGCTACAACTACGCCAACAGTGGAAAGTAATACACATTCACCTTAGAAGTCAAATCATGTGAATATACCTGACTATATCACCAAGCCTCACTCGCAGATTCCTCCTTACAACACGATTCATCCTTATCTTGTCATCAGAGATAGTATCATCCGACAGCACAATACATACCTGTTGAAAAACAAGAAATAATTTATTTAAACTACACTAGAACCTAGAGTGGGGGAAAAAAACTCAAATCCAAAGCTTTATCAAGAACAAGACAGATGTCATATTTAATGATAAAATGATTTTGATTGAAAGGCCAAATTAAATTAGCTGTACTTTTGCTGCACTTGATTCAAAGAGCAAAGAACACTATTCCCAAACTAAGAAAAGAAAATGGATGTATCAGGTTTGTTTCAAAAATGCCTTTGTGAACCTTAAACTATACAGAATATTTATTTGTGTCCATTGAGGCTCCTTTACTTAAGTCAATACAACAGAAACTTAAAGGCAAAAAAAAAAGGATTACATCATCTTTCCACCAATGAGAGCCTGACACAAACCCAAAACCAGTGAAAATGATGGCAAACAGTTTCCAGATGCATCTATTATAAGTAAGATCTCTTTTCTGTACCTTAGCATACTAATAAAAAACAAGTAAAATTTCACACACAAAAAAAATTAAAACAGTGAAGTACAACTTCTCAATTCTCACAGCATCATCACATGGTTGGGTGTAGAAGACAAATGATTGTTTATCAAAAAATTGCTGAATCATTCCATCTAAAAACTCACAGTATCCCGTCTCTTCTTTCCTTTTATCAGGACTGTATCTCCACGAAAGAGCTGCAGCTCTTCCATTTTTGCCTACGAAAGAAAAACCGAAAATGAAAGTGAATTAAAACAGATCGGGTTCTAAGAGGGATGATGATTTAGCACCACGCACGATAAAATCAAAGCATCTTTTTTTCACACAAACCTGAGACATAGATACAACTGAATTGTCATCATTAATAGCTTCTTCCACCAATAAACGGTTAGGCTTCGACTTGTTCTTTAAAATAGCCGTCGCGAGTTCGTCTCTATCACAAAAAAATAGGAGGAAGTTAAAAAGGACAAAGTTAACACGCAAAAATATATAAGTATGATCTTCAAACGTACAGAAAACATCAACAAGGTAGGTTTGTAAAATTAATGGATAGACACAAGAATTTCTAAGTCACAACACAACTTGGCGCAATATACAACTTTTCAAAGGGAAAAGTTATAGAAATTTTTGAGCTTCGATTATCCTGGTGTAATCACGTAATTTGCGACACACAGTTTTCGCGACTGTGGCATACAACGCCTGAGATACTGATCCAAAAACTGCGGAATAATTATCTTGGAAAATTCAAGAGACTATTTCACGAGTTAAAACCGCTAACTTACTGATGAGCCATGGTTTTTTCCTATAGAAATGTACAATAGCCCGGCATAAAACTCTTTATCTGCTGACTAACTTCTGCACTGCGCACGTGCAACGATGACGTTTCTTGATGCCAGTCTCCTCTCCACTTTTTTGTTAAAGCCATGATGCTCTTCGCACTGTGGGCTGTTGAGACTCGTTTCCAAGTCACTACTCTTGATAGGTTTTCCGCGGGGTTGGAGGAGGCCGTGGTTATCCGGCAAATTGATGTCTGGTGACTCTTTCACTTCTCGAATAGGTCGGTTTGGACGTACCTCTACTGATGATATGGCAGCGTGTTTTTGTGTTTCAATAGGAAGCTAGCCCTGTACTTAGAGTTGCGAAGGGTACCATACCTGCCTTGGCAAAATACCCATGAATGATAAAGTTACTTCTCGGCGAATTGAGAAATTCAATTTCAACAATCATTTAACACTTTTTTATTATTCTCTTTCGATACAATATTTTGTATTTTTTATATTTTCTTTTTCGCCAATTATTTATAATGTAAGGTAAACTATTCTTTCTCAACTCTCGGATTATTCTCAGCTCAAAAATTTTTCAACCATAAGATGATGATGATGATAATGGTGTCTTCATTATCATCGTTATTATCTTTATTATTCATCATTATCACCATTATTAAACTTTTTATAATTTCTGTGTGAGTTTTCATAATCATATTGATATTTTGTCAGTCTCAGTTGTCATATGTCTCATCTCTAATTGTATAGCTATAAGTTACATTTATCTGTTAGATGGAAGACAAACAAAGTGGCCCAACAAATGCTGAGTTACCAAAAGATCAACTGGAAAGCAAAGACTCATGTGGTGATGAATTACAGTCTGATGGAGATGGTGAAGAAAAGCCAGCAGAAGGAAATGGCTTTGTAACACAGTTAGCAGACAGTCAGTCTTTAAGTTCAGAAGATTCATCCAAGAATGATGGTTTGAGGAGCAAAATCCCTCGTGTCAACTGTCCAGAGCACATTGTAAGAATGAATTTTTAAACAGAAATGTACACAATATTTCAGACTTTGAAGCTTAGAATCTAATTGGAGAACCATATAAATTCTACCTACATTCAGAGTCCTCCTCTGCCATGTTTTTTGATGAGTCACATGCACAAGAAGTGTATTGTTATTTTCATTAGAAATATGTTTATCTGTTACTTTTTAAGCTTCAACTGCAGCTGAATCAGTATAGGAGAAAAGTTTCTTTTCTGTTAAGTCACTTCTAGTTATTTCTATACCTATGTTCTCACAGGGTTCCTTCATGTGTGTTATCTGTTCTTTTAAGTTTTGTCCTATTGCATATATGCTCACTCTCCAGGAGTATCCAGGAGTCTCCCAGATACTGAGCCAATCTCCTGCTTGCCTGTATGGGTGACCAAATCTCCCGAATAATAGGAAGTTTGGATCAGTTGCCCACAAAAAACTAAGATTTAAGCTCCTTATGTTCCAAAATTCCAAAATCATCTGGCTTCTTATGCTTGTAGTACAGTTTCTGGCTTCATTTTCTTGCATGATGCATGTTGTTCATTGTAAACAAAAAGAGGAGAGTTTCTTCTTTGTTACTCCCATATAAGGAAGAGTCTGATTGGATGAGTATTGAACCATTTGAAGTCCCTGACAGATAGATCCACATTTTTCCGGATGTTATTACTTTTTATTAATACCTTATATTATGGTCGTTGTTATCTTTTGATAGTTATTAGCATAAATCATATTATAAATTGAGACTGTAAGCCATAGCAAGTTACAGTTAAGGAAAGTTTTGATTCTATAATCATTGATTTATTATTCATTTGAACATATCAGGTTACTTTTGAGGATATCTGTTGAAAGAACTTCGATGAAATTATTTGCACAAATTGTTTTTTCAGATATTATGTTTGGATGTATCATCAGAGATGAAGTCAACATCATTTCAAAATAAAAGTGTTTCAGATAGGTGATATTATATATTCTTTTTCATCTACTAATAGAGGTTTTTGGATTGACTGCTCAGTCATTAGAAGGTTCCAAATTATACACAAACATTTCAGGGACTGTTACTGTAACTTTGTTATTACTTCAAATATTTTTAGAGTAAAATCTGAAAGCATAAAGCAGTTTATCTTTGACATTTGTATAGGACAGCATTTCAGCTGGTCCAAAGGGCAGGAGAAATCTTTGTGAAGACCAAGTCAAAACTGAATGCACAGCACAAGTTTTGTGTTGTTGGCCTGGATGATATTCCAACTTTTGTAAGTTTTTGAAGTCTTCAGAAATATTCAAAGAGAGACTTTCTCTCTTTTGACTTATTGAGAAAACTGATTTTTGGAGACATATGGTGTATTTGTCAGACATATGGTGTAACCTGAATGGAAAGGATTGTAGAAATGAGAGTAAACCTGACATACCCCATTTGAATTATGTTTATAATCTAAGATTAGAACTAAGATTAAGAGACATGACTTTGTAAAGTTTTTCCACAGGTTTTTGAGAAAGCTGCCATTTATTACCAAAATGATCTTTTTTGTCAGTTAAATACAGAATTTAGAAAAAGCAGTTGATGCATTTTAGTCTTCTAATTATTTTATTCTTCCTTTGTTTAAATTTTTTTTAATAAAATTTTTTTTTAGCAGAATGATTTCACCAGTGATGTGGTAAATATCTGCAGCATGCTAAACCTTCTTCATCCAGTAGATGAACTTTCAACAGATGGGGAATATGATATCCTTTATAAAGACTAGCCTGTGCTGTGCACTTACTTAAAACCCAGTGTTCTCCTTTTCAGGCAGTAACCAGTAACATTTACTGCCTGTAGTACCTCTTATTACCATTTAAAATTGCTTGGAATTCTTGATAATTCAATAGGTAAAAGGATTGCTTTACCAGTTTGAAAATTTATTTTACCTGTCATGCTTAAAATAAGGGAGAACACTGAAAACCATAATCTGTTTTGTACTATGCAACTTTTATTTATTTTCTTTGGAGAGGAGTGAATGATTGTAACTTATACATTGTTGAAGTATTCCGTTCTCACTAAATTTATTTGACATTGAATAAGAAGTTACAAGTGGACAGTAAATTTAATGGAACCAGTGTCTAGAATGCTGAAAGTTGTCAAATGAATTCCTACTCTTTATCTCTGCTAAACTACTTTTATTTTCATTTGGGAAGAGAAATTTTGGTATATATGCTAAATGTGACTTACTGGGAAGTTATACTCTTGTTGAATTTTATCCTTGATGGTCATTTCAAACATGGCAAAGTTATTTGAAGCAATGTAAGTTTTTCTCTATAACTTACAATGCATCGATAAATTTTAGTCAAGGAAAGGCTGATATTTATCATAGATATGTTGTTACAGTGAGTTAGCTTGACTTGGTGCCAGTGTAATTATTCTGCCTTGAAAAAAATTACAGGGGTGAGGTTATGAGCATTAAATTCCAAATTTTATGTGGGTGGGGTTTTAATTTTTTTTCAGGTTTGTTTCATTTTGCATGTTCAATTTGGAGGTCAACCACTTTTAAAAGGTCTTTGTGGGTCATTGTTGAATGTGGAAAGTAATGTAAGGAGATATAGAAAGTGGTGAGCTGTGTCTCTTTCAGATTTTGATCTCTTAAATTTAAAGTTATTTTTTACTGACTCTTGGAAAATTAAACTTTTTTGGGTTTACCTTTCATTTGATATTCAGTTTATTTTTACTCTGTGCTTATCTCTCACAGACAACAAAATGTTACTTTACCACATGTAGAAGACATATCACTGCCTCCTCCATATGTTGTACGACTTATTATAGTGTATGGACGATCTTACTGCATACCAGTCATGTCTACAAGAGCAAAGGAGGTATGTTTGAGAGAGCTAGTTTATTTGTTAGTCTTTTCTTTAATGAAACATCACTTGATTGCTTTTATACTACTTTTTCAACTTTTCTTTTCTCTAATTTCCTGGTACAGGTCATCATGCACTTTACCTTGAATTTATTTGTTTTGGTACTGTTGATTGACAATAACATAACTAAATTTGGAAGTATTGGTGTGGTACCATTTAGAATATGATTTGAATAAAATGATATAACATTCTTGCCACTCTGAGAAAGTAGACCAATTTGCTGTGAATTTTTTTGTGCCTGAGGTAACAATGAGTGTCACTTAATCCTTAAACGAAGGCAATGAAGGAGTTAATGGCAAGACTTTATGGTCTCTGCATCCAATGATTTTTTCTGAAGGTGTGATTGATTCTGTGTCTGTGCCTAATACTTGAGAAAAGCCTAGGAAACCACTGAAAAAAGTGCACCCTCCAGCTTTAACCAAGGGTAGGTGAAGCTCAGCATACATAGAGGTTTGATTGATGTTTAAAAGACCATTTTTATTGTAATTTGCAGATATTTTCACAACTGTCTGCCTGCCCATATTTCTTTCTTGATGTTCTTTATGTTCATGAGCTTCCATCTGAAATGAATCTGTGTAAAGTAAGTCATTGAGAATCTTCTATATTTCTTGATTAGATTTTGATTGCTTTGTTTTTTGAGGCCAATTGTGACTTCAGGTCTCAGTTCAAGTAAGGCACTTTTCCATTTGTTGGTATAGATATTTTAAAAGAAATTGGACTTGGCTCATTTGACTGAAATACTAATCTGAACATTTACATGATGAGGAAGTTGCATATGACACCAGGATCAATAAAACAATCCTGAATTTTCTGAAAATTATTACCACAAACATCTGCATGTAAGCTGCACTCACAAATAAGCCCCACCTTGAGTTTGGCAACAAAAATTTTGGATAAAAAGTTTTCAAAAATGTATTGGAAAAAAAAATAAAAAAAAAACAGGTGAAGTCTTGAGAAAGTTGAACACTAATACTAAAAATGGAGAATACTTTGAATACTTGTCTATAGTTTTACCTGTAATAGTATGGACATGATATCTTCTGAGTTAGACTTTTGGTTGATCTTACTCTGCTGTACCTCTGATGTGTTTGGAAAATTTCAGGTTAAAAGGTGCGGCTTATATGCTGGTGTTTGTGGTATGCAGATTACTTTGTTAGAGGAAGTCACTAAGAAAAATTATTTTTTAGTGTTATACAGGCTATCTTCATTAACAAGTGAACACTTAATCTGTATAACATTTACCCTACGACTAGGAATACAAAAAGAGGAACTTAAGATTGAAACAATAGATCTCTAAACAGACTGAAATGGAGCTGGAGTAAAGTAAAGAGGAACTTAAGATTGAAACAATAGATCTCTAAACAGACTGAAATGGAGCTGGAGTAAAGTTGTTGTCACGGAGGTTGATGAAGCAACAAGTTTATTGCTCCACAAAGGTACTGATGAACTTCATCGTAAATATGACCTAATATTTTGTACTGTAATTTAGGAAATATATGATATTTTCTGTGACATGGACGAAGAAGAAGATGGGTTTATGTTGGAAGTATCACGCAGTACAACGCGGCTGTTTGACCATATGGCAGCATTGGTGGCACATCCGTTACAAAGACCTAAACAACGCGATACATCTTACACCCTGACATTAAGAGAAGATTAACCACGAACTATATTTCAATCAGGACACTTCAGTGCTCTAGTGAAGTGATACGAATTAATCCAATTATTTTGTAAACAGTTTTTAGAATATATATTAATACGGACCTTCCGTCATAGCACAGCGCTCCATCCACGAAACAAAACAAATCTGACAATATTTACAGGAAACTTGAATATAGTACACGATATCATCACATATACAGTGTTTGCACTGAACTCTAATTAAAGGGTTTCACACATTGATATTGTGAAATACATCTGCACAACTCTTCCTTTGAAACCAATCACTGATCAAAGACAATTTTCCAAGTGGTGTGTGATTTGTTCCTCAGAGATTAACTGGAACCTGTTACTGTTCAGTCAAAGTGTTTCAGTTGTACTTTGAGTATTAAAGGTGTTAATGTGAGGATCGTGCCTATCAATGCATAACATATTGTGTTAATTGATGTTGTGTATCCTTTGTTTCTGATTAAGACATAAGAATGTTATCACTTAATTACCAGTTAGCCAAGCCATTGTATTGTTCCTCTCAGTTACTAACTAGCTGACTGTTTTATAACAGGGTTAAAACTCGGTTATACTCGAAAGGGAATTACGATAAAATGTGCCGTGTATCTAGTTCGTGTTTTATCCTTTTTGCCTTGAAATTTTAACAGTATGAGCCGTCCAAAATCGCTTCAGAGGCAGTTAGCCTTCGAAACAATACATTATGTGTCTGTCAGCAAGATGGGCCAAGCTATTTTAAATAAGAATCCTCGTGAAACTAGAAAACTTACTGAAAAATTGGAAGATATTGAGTTTCACGAAAGAAAGTGGAAAAGTGATTTTTCTGGCGAACTCAATGACGCAAGGCAAGATTACAATCAGGCACGGAGTGTAGAAAGTTCATCAGGTTTCTCATCGTACCCTAAAGCTAAAGGAGGAAAAGTGTCCTTTTATCTTAACAAACCACAGCGCTGGATAGAAAAACGAATTGGAAGGATCTACCAACAGCCAGAACAAACCTCTGAAACAACAAAATACCGCAAAATACAAAATACCAGCAACGAACCTACACGGGGCTTAGCCGGGAGAGAAAAATCTTTGAGGTCCCTTTCAGTGAAAAAGAAATCTCTGACAACAGATATTGATCTGTACACGGGCGACAAAATGTCACATGTAAAGGGCGAGACACTTTACAGAGGACAAGGCTCGGTCACGCCTCATTGTATGACGCCATTCATACGTCACTCATACCGAGATTGCACAGAAAAAACAGTGTTAGGTGACGTCACCAAATGGCACAGATGTGAGACTTGTGATTCAGTGGTTCCACTTTCTGAAGCTCAGTCTCTTGGTGGGAACTCTAGTGTTTTAGAAAAGGCTTGTATTTCCCTTCTTCCTTCATGCTCAAAAAACAAGGCGCTCTCTAACATTATAATAAAGAATGAATCCTGTTTTCTTCCTCCTTATTCTTCAACTCAAAAGTCCAGTTTGAACAGTCGCCCGAGTGAGATCATTTTAAAGACAAAAGTAGACAAAGGATTTGTGAAACGGGAAAAAACCAGAAACCTTATGAAACTAAATTTTGAATTAAGAGCAGAACATAGCCTGTTGCTATCTCCTTTAGAAGATTCAAGATTTGTTGGTCTTCAGTCTGTACTAGTTCCTATAACGAACAACGGAACAAAAAAATCTAGAGACTGATAAGAGAGACTGAAAGCCAAATGACATTCTCAAGTTTAAAGTTTCTTTTCTTTACGCCATCAGGAAAGCAGAACTTGACGCAACTGACGAGCAATGTTTGCAGGAACACTTTGTCTTCAGTACTTACACTGTGTGGAAGCGGTTTACTTTCATCCCGTCTCTGCAAGAATCTACAAGTTATTTTATGAAATAGTTAGTCCGCCATTATTATTTTTTATATATTTATTTTTTAGTTGCATTAATTTCCGGCTGGCTCCTCTATTGTAGTTTATGTATTAACCATAGTGTGCAGTTCGCCTGGAGGCTGTTTCCAAAATTCTTTCACACAACAATCGTTGGTTACGCCAAATGATAGCTTTGTTCTGTATTGCGTCGTTCGCGCCCTAATGACGATTTCGTAAAGGCCTCCAGGGGGTGCTTAATTGACTCAGTAGTCCTTTAAAGAGTAACAACAACATTAAGTTACGCTGAAGGTTCTCATGATGAAAACTTCACTATCTAAACATGAAAAAATGATGGCCTCCAAGAGTTGGAGAATGGCAAACGCTTCTAATTCTCGAGAAGAGCAGAATTTACAGAAGGAAAAGCAGCGTTTGATGAAACAGTATGAAGCAGAAACATGTCAGCTTAAAGCTGCACAAAATCGATTTGAAAATCAATACAGAAAAAAAAGTACAACAGAAAAGAAGACATCGCTTGTGTTACCACCTCTGCAGGAGAAGAACAGTCATCCTCTCAAGGGGCAAGACGGTAGAAAAGGCTCTTGTGGGAATTCTGTTTCTCTCCCTTCTCTACCACGCTTGGCGGACTCGTTCTCTGTAATTGCTGCTGTTCCTAGACCAAGATCAGTTAGTGTCAGTAGTGAAGCAGATAGTCACTCTGCTTCATTAATAGTCAGTGATTCACATGAGGGAATTGCTTCTACACAGCACCACCGGCGCAGTAAGTCTTATGCTGGACTACCAAATGTAATAAAATAGTCGGGCCACTTTCATCTGTCCTAAGCTGCATTCATGTGTAACTATTTGCATTGGAAACTCAGCTAGTGATCCTCTTTTCCACCAAGCAGAGAAGTAAAAGTTAAGAAAATTGAGGGATCATGGGCAAGTCGTTGTCATGAAGAGCCTAAGAAATGATGTTGTGCGCAAAAGTATTAAGTTGAGAGTCCCGTGTAAACTGATTGAAGAAGTAAACAACATGACGTATAGCCTGCGGCGAAGTTGCGTAGTCAGCAAAGATATTCATGGCTAAAACTTACACACGTGTCTGAAATTTTTTACTCCACGTATTGAAGGTTTGGACGAGGGCTGCTCGATTTTGCATCATTTTGACTGGCCATGCGATAGTCGAAATTGAAAGTCACTCATTTCGACTCATTTCTGTCGCAAGCGAGCAAAATGAAATAGAAGTAATAAGAAAAGATAATGATTATAATAAAAAAAATTACAATAATGACAAATAAAGATCTTGATAAGAAAATATAGTTGAACGAAGGCGGGAGGCTGTCTCTCTTTCCCTTTTTTGTTCCGAAGGGTTATTCGCCATCTGTGAAACAAAGGAAAATAACGTTTGAACTATGTTTATAACTGAACTGCTACGGGATTAACTACTTTGTAACCGACCATGGAAGGTGTTTCCAGTTTCAGCTTTAGTACAATTTCATGTAAAGGCGGGTATTTTCGTGAGGAATTCACCTGTTAATATATTATACTAAAACGCAACTTTGCCTGAACATTTTAATACTTTCTAATGAGAGATGATATAAAGCGAGAAAATATAGCAGATTAAGTGTCTTTAGTACTCCTCTGGTCCTTTTCTTTATCCGTCCATTTTTTACGTCACCTTACATTTCTCCTCTCCCGCTAAGTTCATCATGTTTTCCTTGTGCTCCTTCTGTCTTTCCTTCCATTATATCTGCATTTCCGTTCAACAGGCTTCCTTCCCTTTCCCTCCCATACCTCACCATTTTCCTTTGTCTATAGGGCTTTCTCTCATAACTTCGTCGAACATTACGGTACAACCCCGCCCTTCTCCCTTCCATCAATTTCTTGGCAAGAAAAGTAACTTATTTTTGCCAGATGATTTTTTTTATGTGTTCATATCTTAAATCAAATTGTAACGCTGTGCCTTATAGACCTTTGTAGTGATTGAAAACACTACGTGATCTTTACACCACATATCACTTAAGTAATATTGCTCGTGACTGGGCTCTAGGAAAGATTCAAAATGGCGGTCGTGATGGAAGGACCTCTATCTAAATGGACGAATGTTGTAAAAGGATGGCAGTATCGGTGGTTTGTTTTGGATGATAATACAGGGTTGTTGTCGTATTATACAGTGAGTCTAATTCCTTCTGGGGTGATTTCCATAAAATAACAAAGCACTTGCTTTTACCTTTAAACCTGCGTTCACGTAAGAAAGTCAATCGTAGACGGTCAGGGAACCAAAATAACTACGGTGCACATTCAGTGAAATTTTAGGACAAGTAATGGGGAGGAGGGCCATTAGGCAACATATTCAGGCTCGTTCCTACTGGCTACGTACGTTATTTAGCGTCTTGGGAGAAACGGAAACTTAAAACAAAGAGGAATTTTATATGGAGAAAAGTAAACGTATGATTCAAATTAAATGTAATTACGATCGACGAGATGATGTTATTTCGTAAATTGAAAATTCTGTTTGACCATGTTGCTATTGATCACAGTCCAAGGACAAAATGATGAGAGGAACGAGAAGAGGATGTTTACGTCTGAAGGTAAACTAAGTTGATATCTGACAGACCCTCCACATCTTTTCAATGCAATGTTTCATATGGAGCAGTTGGCAAAAGGCATTGACTTTGACTGTAAATATATGAAAATCTTATATGTGTACTGCAGATAAAGAAATGAATACAGAAGCGATCCTTGCAGTTATGAACACTACTGATGTAGTGGTTGTTTGCTCAGTTGGTAGAGCACTCGTTAGCTCAGTTGGCAGGGTGCTGCACCGATATCTCAAAGTTCATGGGTTCAAATTTTGTATGGACCTGAATTTTTTCAGGTCTTATTTCAACTAGTAGTTTAGATGTGTTCATGACTGCAAGGATCACTCTTATATTAGTTTCTTCAACTGCAGTGCACATACATGATTTTCCTATATTTACAGTCATTGTTCACTACTTGGAAGGTTTATTTGGATCCAACATAATGACTAGCTCCCAGTTGGCTTGTTAGCTCAGTTGGTAGAGTGCTGCATGGGTATTGCAGAGGTCATAGGTTCAAGTCCTATGTGGGCCTGAATACTAGTTCAGTAGTGTTCATAACTGCAAGGATTGCTTCTATATTCATTGGCATTGACTTTGTTGAAAAGGACCCTTAAGGTGTAAAGTTGAGCTTTGGGGTTATCTGTAAAGAAGCTTACAGAGATGTAGCCCTGCAATGTTTGAAAAATTGAACCTATGGATAATTATATGATGTGAGGAAGGGGTACAAGATATGTAACCCCGCCCCTTAATTCTCACTCATTGTCTTGTCCCTAAGTATCTTACTCAAATTAAATATAACAATTTATATGGGAGTAAATTCTACATTTACGCTGTACATGTAGCTAAAGATCCTGTGATATAGCCAGCCTGACCTCTACATAACAGTCCAAGTCAAAATTTTGATGCATTCATTTAAAGATTACATGTGAAAAAGTTGGTTGACGTAATGAAATAAATTTTAGGGGGCAAACATTGGAATTGATGATGAAGAGGACAGCACCTTTACAATAAGCTGTGATCAAAAGACCTTTCACTTTCAAGGTATCCATATAAAGTTTTTACTCTCC